GCCGACTTTGAATCTTCCATAGCTGCCATAGGACCACATGTTGTGGTGTCCATCCAGCAATCGATCAATGGAGGTCTTGCTGATAGATGTCCCCGGGAAGTCCCAGGAAGTTCTCCATATTGCAGATGAGTGTAATGGTAGACAAGGTACAACAAATATTACGGCCACCTATCGTGGTGTTTTTATAACCCCATTATGACGAATCGAATACAACATGACGAGACTGTAGAGAAAATCCTAAATGCGCTACTAATTTGATTAAAATCTCGCATGTAACACAACCAGTACATGGATTTTTTTGCGTTCACAAGCCCCGAAGTAAATCAAAAAATGATACCACAAAAATGTAAATTCTCACCATTCCGTATCTCCACTTGATGTGAACTCTGTTCAAGAGAGGTGAATACATTCCAGTACCAGGGTACTGAACACAGTTCACAACCCCCCCCCCTTTACTATCACCAGAAAATTAGCACTGCAACATTTGATATAATTACCACAGTTCAAGATGAAGTATTACGGGTTTCGTCTAACGACTGATGGAGGTGTACTGAAGGGAGTCTCTTTTGTGAACGATGTTTATTATCCACGGTATATTATTGTATCCAAATCTCATGAACAAAAATCACATGTGCATGCAAAACAGTGATTAAAGCTTGTGCGTTGAGGCTGAAGGACTAGGGTGGGGAGTCGTGTCTCCAGTCAACTGCACAGCATACGATCGCCACACCTTCTCATTTATTAGTCAAGCTTTGCAATATCAAAATTTGTAAAATATAAATTTTTTCAACATTCGTTGACCTCGGAATATTCCGATAGTTTTTGTTCTGAATCGCCTACAGCGGTGTGACTAAAGGTTGTGCGTGGAGGCTAAAGGGCTGCGGGTCGAGGCTAAAGCATTTCGGGTTTTGGTTAAAGCTTGATGAGAAAAGGTGTAGTTCGATCTTCAGTTACAAGAACTGTCATTAATGTTCGCCATCAGTGGTTTTCATTCGCGGATTAGAAGCATAGGTGATTTGTTATCTTCATCACGAGAAGAACCCTCAGGCAACTCTGGCATCAAAAACATCACAGAAAAATATCACGAATTTAGAAAACAAGACATCCTTTTATTTTCGCACCAGCATTGTACTCCTCCCTTTTCAAATAAGAAATGATTTACAAGCTTCAATGTTTCGCACACTCTGAGATACACGGTATTTCTACAGCACGTCGAATAATCATTCTAATATACTCACACGTGTAACAAAGAGACATTTCAAAGAGTGACAAAACCGTACGGTAAAACGTTGAGAGTAAAAGTAGTGCAGAATCGCTAACCAGCTCAGCCTAGACAAACTAAACGAACACATCCAGAATGATGGGTACAGGCAAACCGAAATGCATGCTCGCAATCCGATAACTCAAAAGTTATTCACAACGATTGGGGTCTCACTCCCATGCAAGCAACGTAAACCATGGTCAACCAAATGTAATAATTCCTCCAGGGATTTCCCTCAAAACACACAGAAAACTTACCGCTTTCCGTATTAGTCGGTTCATAAACCAGAAATGGAGGGGCTTTGCGTAGGCGGAGAAATTCGTTATGTAGTTCTAAGAAGAAAATTAGGGAACAAAGACGGCTTCGCAAAACCCGATTGAAATATAAATTTATGTACGAGTCGACAATATTGCAAACCGATGGGAAAATTATTGCAAAACACGCTTACATGTGGGCGCATCACAGATGAAATGTCCGTGGGTATACTAAAGGTTACGAGGGCAGTTGTCAACGTGAGAAATTTGGGGCGCCGTCGCAACATTCTGTGAAGGGGAGGTTTTACGCTGTAGCACTTCGGCCAGTACTGCTTTGATATCCGACCGCACATTAGGTACTGCCAAGTTATATACACGGAATGTTTTCAATCCCAATCTAGAAGCCGAGAGCCGCCCAATGTACGCAATCGTTCTGTGCATTTCTCAAGACCTTTCCTAAACTGCCGCTGCAGATGCTGACGGTTTCCTTATTGCAACTGACACATTGAGATCGCTCGCTTTTCTTTTATCAAATTACTGAACCCTGAGATCCAAGGTCCTCGACGAACTTCGGGATCGCCCCACAAGCAAAGTTTGCTGCCAAATGCATTGCACGTCTCAAGCGGTCCCACTGTTGATCCACTCCACCAATTCGCGGGGTACCTGCCACCTGTTCAAGATATTCCTCATTACGTGCGCAAACAAATGGGTCGCGCAGATCATGATCAACTAACTGAACAGGCGATCTCTGACGCAAATCCACTAAGCCGGATCCAAAAGATACACGGAAGCACCTAGACGATTATCACGTATTACCATGTCATGGAAGCCGAAGCACACAACATTAGACAACCTCCACAAATACAGGTGAACAATAACCAATCAAATGTCACCATCACTCAAGATACGTTCCGAAAACCCCGGGAAAAACTTACCTCTTGCCGGATTTGTTGGTTCATAACCCCACAATCGGGGCGATTTGTGTAAACGGGGAACATCGACAGTCATGTCTAAAAGAACAATTTAAAAACAAAAAAACAAATGCGAACATTCAGAGGAGTAAAAGTGTTAGAAATACAATAGTATGCAATATCAGATAAAAATGCAACCCATATGTGTATATGATGACAAAAAACTCAATTCAATCAAGTTAAGTCGAAAGAAAAGTAACTAAACTGACTTCGAGTTGGCTGTGACACCGACCAACAGACACTAAACTGTGCCACAAAATCGACTAATAAAAAGCACAACGGAAAACAGAAAGTTCACTCTCTCATCAACGCGCTTCAGATTGCCTGGCGCAACAGAAACAGTCTCCTCAATAACGACAAACTAACTCAAACAGAGTAGATCTACTGGCACATTGCAGCCACTTTCGCCCACGTGACAACAAGTAGGTTCCATGGATGAACAAAGAAAGAACATTCACACACCCGGTAACAATGAACATTCTTGGTCGAGGACGCACCGTGCACAGCCGTTCGTACGAGTGACATCGTTGACCACACTTAGTCATACCACTCATTGTCGCGAATCACCGATGGCGCAACCATTTACCACCTGTTGACCTAATCGGTAATGGTAATAACCTTATTTTACATCGCGGAAAATTGCAGACAAATCCTGATCAACCAAATGCAAAAATCAAATAAGACGGTTTCTAAAAGTGGCGTCCATAACTCACCCTTTCTCATATCAACTGAATCGAAGCCCTGTATTCGGGGGGATTTGTGGAGACGGGGCTCATCAACAGCAGACTCTGAAAAACAAAATCAAGATACAAACACTAGTATAAGTAAACATCGCTAGAAATGATAATGCGCGCGTGACGGGTCCACACAAATGGAAGAAATGTGAAGCGAAATTCACCCATTCGCCTCTCCCACGCACGTTCGGTCGATCCTCGAAATCCGGGATTCTTTCAACAACTCGAAAAAACACTGTCATATTCCGCATTCCTAAACGCAGACACTTCTCACACCTTAATACATAACACAATCTCACAATCGAAATCAGTCGTCTACAAGGTTATCAAATCGAGCAGAAAATTCTATCGCCCCTCATTGCCTTTTCGTGGGCTTAGTAGAACAGAAGCAAGGCTCGTCCGCTATTGGAATTGATCACTGCGCGCACAAGCGCTCACTGTTCATCCATTCAGACCAGCGTTGGATCAATTTGGGGATTCCCAAACGGGTACGCGTGATTCATTTGTACTCAAACGCATATGCCCATTTATACCCCAATATTAACCTCGGACTTGTACAGTCTCCGAAAGTCCCATGGTGGTTAGGGAGGGGTGTATTCAGTTTCGATTGCTCATCATCGCTATCATCGTCGTACAGCGAAATACAATGAAGCGAACTTCACTGATCGCATCACTGATCGACTAGTCACCCTCACTTGCACTTCGTGAGGTGATTCCTTACAATAAACTATTCCTAATAGCCTCCACTGAGGAAGACCCATTAAATGCAGTCACCTAGAGGCATTCCCCTACAAAAGTGAGAGCACGAGAAACCAACACCGAAGCTATAAATAAATCGATAGACCACCGGCAGTACATAATGCGATTTGGAAAAACACTTGATTCAAAGCAAACCTAGAAGCTGGGCACGAACTACACCAACATCTTCCTGGATAGACAATGGTCACCGGCTTGGTTGGGCACCGAGGTAAAAACAGACACCCCGCATGTGTGGCTCTGACCGAAAGCCGTACTATCCGAAAGACTGGACACTGGCTCCCAGTACATTGCGGACTCTCACCTCCGTGAAGCTGCGTTACAAGCCTGACAATCCAATCAAACGGCTCAAACGATGCTCTATATCACCCACGTTCAGGAACGATGGCCGAGGTAGATAATTCAACCTCAAAATCTCAAAAACACCAGATTCAGGAGAGATCCGACTAGCGCCGTCCTGTGGCAAAATCTTGCATAACTCATCCCTCTAAATTGCTTATTGAGATGCGAATATTGTCTTTGTCCAACGTCTAGAGTGCAATAAATATCGGATAAGCTTAACATCAGTAAAAAACCGAGAAACTAACACCACAACAGTCAATCAAATGATCCAGAGAAGATCCTGTGAACGAAGCACGTAAACACCACGGCATTAGACTAACAGCGTGCCCCTTCAAGGACAGAACAAGAAAGGACAGTGAAGAACAGGAAGAGAGCAGAGCAGAGCAGAGAAGATTACCGGATAGAGGAAATTAAAAAAAGCTGTTCTAGAATGTTATACAGAAACGAGATTCTCCTAGAATATACAGTGATTGAAGTACTAGCGTGCTCAATTGGAACTGCCCACCTCGAATGACATAACCCGCTCTGTCGCTTTTGACAACGGTCAGCGAGAACGACAATCAACAAAACCCTGGTCTGAATGGCAGTCCGAGCTGACTTTGCAGGTCTATTAATAGGGCCTTCTATCACAGCTTATGTGAGTTGCTTCTCAAAGCACCTTAGACAGATATCGTGACTCTGACCGAAGACCTAAACGCACACGTTGGTCATTTCTCACCCGATAAAACCCATCCTGGTGGCCATCATGGCCTTGACACCTGTTGTTTGTATAATGGGAATAGACTTCTAGGCATATACTCAGAACACAGTCTGTTGCCCGTTAGCACCAAATTCAGACACCCAAAGCGTCACCTAGCCACGTGGCGTAATCCCTCTTCGGCACAGATGTGGACTCAGATTGATCATGTACCTATCCGCTATAGATGGAGAGGGTGTGTGAAACAGTGTCGTTCGTTCTGGTTTACCCGCTTGATATCCGACCGCACATTAGGTACTGCCAAGTTATATACACGGAATGTTTTCAATCCCAATCTAGAAGCCGAGAGCCGCCCAATGTACGCAATCGTTCTGTGCATTTCTCAAGACCTTTCCTAAACTGCCGCTGCAGATGCTGACGGTTTCCTTATTGCAACTGACACATTGAGATCGCTCGCTTTTCTTTTATCAAATTACTGAACCCTGAGATCCAAGGTCCTCGACGAACTTCGGGATCGCCCCACAAGCAAAGTTTGCTGCCAAATGCATTGCACGTCTCAAGCGGTCCCACTGTTGATCCACTCCACCAATTCGCGGGGTACCTGCCACCTGTTCAAGATATTCCTCATTACGTGCGCAAACAAATGGGTCGCGCAGATCATGATCAACTAACTGAACAGGCGATCTCTGACGCAAATCCACTAAGCCGGATCCAAAAGATACACGGAAGCACCTAGACGATTATCACGTATTACCATGTCATGGAAGCCGAAGCACACAACATTAGACAACCTCCACAAATACAGGTGAACAATAACCAATCAAATGTCACCATCACT